TGTGTGTGTGTGTGTGTGTGTGTGTGTGTGTGTGTGTGTGTGTGTGTAATAAATCACTCTGTGACTGCCAGCAGGATATAGAGGCTCTCCCAGACTTCCACAGGCTTTGCTGAGAGGGTGTATCTCAGTGGTATGTCTTATGTTTTCCCAGAAGCAGTCCTCTGTAAAATTGCTAAGGACGGGCTGATAGAGATAGGAAAGATGGAAACAACCCAATGATGGTGACTTAATTAAGATTTTTATTGCTGTGGTGAGACACTATGACCAAAAGGAACTTGGGGAGGAAAGGGCTTATTTGCTGCTCACCTCTGAAGGAATTCAGGGCAGGATCCTGGAGGCAGGAGCTGATACAGTACATGGAGAGGACATGTTTACTGGCTTGTTCCCCATGGCTTGCTCAGCCAACCTTCTTATAGAACCCAGGACCAATACCCAAGGATGGCACCACTTACCATGGACTGCCCCTGCTCACTAAATGAAAAATTGCCTTAAATGGAGGCATTTCCTCAACTGAGGCTTCTTCCTCTCATGATTCTAGCTTGTGTGAAACTGACGCACAGAACCAGCTAGTGTAGTTAGTAACAACCGACATTTCATTTATCCAGAGTCTTCTCTTGGGAGACTGGGGAAGCTGATTGCCAAGAGCAGGCTTTGTGCCAGTGTTGGCTCTCCAGAAACAACTGACAAGGGCAGTCCTTAGGAAGAAAGGCTCAGAGCAGAATTCAGTGCACATCCTTAATGTGTAAACCTAGAGAGCCAACTTCCCAGACTGGTTCAAAGCTGCCTCACGCTGTGACTGTGGAGAAATTCCTTGGTTTCTCTGCTTCTTATTTTCCTCTGCAGGGTGGAGGTGACTTACAACACTGCCTCTAGCTCTAGTCGCTTATGATGGGAGGATGCTGAGTGAGAGTTTCAGGTAGTGTGACTCAGAGACTCAGGAGAGTATTTGAATACCCTGGGCTTGGTCCCTGGTAAATGTGAAGCTTGGGGTCTGAAGCATCCCATCTGCATTTTCCCCAAGTGTTGCAGATGACAACCACACAGTGAATGTAAGCATATCTGTGACTGATGAACCCCAGAAAAGGCAGGTTTCCAGGAAGGGCTAGTGTAAGACTTTGCAGTGTACACCAGAATGAGTTGACTTCTAAGAAAATGATTGAAAGATAATCTGTTGCCTCTGCTTCAGGACTGGTTACCCCACCATTGACACAGTTTCTGTATGTGTGCCCAGGAGTGGGGAACAAGAATCATCTTAGCAGTGATCACGGAGTTCATTTTGTGCTTGTCCAAAAACTTTAAATGGGGGCTCTCCAGCATTCCTTTTATTACTATTGCCACTAAAAGTATAAACTGTACTAATGACAGCATCCTCAAAATGAAATATGGACCACAACAGGGTATTGTTGTTGCTACTGTAATGATGATATAAATTTTTGTGTTTGTGTAGTTTCATGACAGAATGTGACAACTAACTACTAAGGTCTTTCATAGTCTATATCCAAGAAAACATAAAACTAACGTCTATCATAGTCTATACCCAAGAAAACACAAAAGAAAAAGGGAACTTTTCCCTCTTTCATCAGTATGCTGTCACACCTCTGGGCTGGATACAGGAAAACTGATTTGAGCTGTGGGGGGGAAAGTATATGTACAATAGAGCATGGTTTCTAAAGAGTCATGGCCACTCACTGAGTACAAAAGAGAAGTATGGCCATGACAAAAACTCTCCAAGAATCATTTTCTCTTTTATTTGTGTTTATTCTTCCAAAATGATACCGTGGATTTGTAAGTTAACAGAATAATGATTTCAACATTTTGCAAGTCCAGTCTCAGTAAAGCTTAAACTAAGTATGTCTCTAACACAGTTATGGAATAAGGCTCTGCTTAAGTATGAAAATTTAGTTGACTTATGCAGTCGCCCACGGTTGGAGAAAGATAATAAAACTGAGCGTGTTCTCCCCATAAGTGGCACAATGTGGAATGCAGTGGGCAGGGTAACCAGCTGGAACTCACACTCCAGAATCTTAAAAGCTAAAGACAAGATGAATTCACCTACACAGTGTTTTGCTTATCACAGGGGAAGAGATTCACCTGGGGCTACCTAGGAAAACACAGACAGCTTTTTAGTAGAAGACACCTAGTTGTCCTCCCCGTAGTCCCAAGCTCCCCAGCACTACTTGTCTGAGCACCTCCGGTGTCTAGAGGTGTGATGGTGATCCCTATCACAGAAAGTTTCCAAATCAAACAAAGGCATAAAATCCAGGCACACTTGAAACCATTAGAGATGAAATCAAAGATATCTGTAAAACAGAAAGGGGGGAGTTTGTGTGGGCTTAAAGTGTCAGTTACTGAATGATGGAGGCAAAATCCGAGGTTGAGTTTCACCAGATGTGGACATGGGGGAAGGGGTTAAGATATTCCAAGAGAACTAGGAAGATGACTCAGTGCATAGAGCCTTGCCGTGTAAGTACAGGGGCCTGAGTTTGAACCGCTGAAAACAATGTGAAGCCAAATGTGGTAGCTCACGTCTAGATTCCTGATACTCCTATGAGAGGAGTCAGTGTCACCAACAAAGATCCTGTCTCAAACAAGAGAGCAGGCAAGAGACAGTACCTGAGGCTGTCCTCTGACCTCCACACAGACACTGTTACACTCTACACACACCTATCTGACACTCACATACCATGTACACACATACACACAGATTTAAAAATATGTTTGGAGATGAAAATAGGAAACTAGAAATAACAGACATGAGGTTGTTATAATGGAAGAAATGAGCAGAGGGGTGTGCTTGAGAAAGAAGATGAAGCCAGCTTTCCTTCCCCAGAGTTCTGCCCTGCTGCCCTACCATCCACATTGATGTCTGAGTGTCTAGCCTTCCTGTGTATGGCAGACTAAGTCTCACTTAAAAGTAGAACTATGTAAGCTTCTTCAGTGCCTGTTCCCAGGGCTCTGTGGCTAGAAATGCAATGGCAGTGTTGGTCCTCTGGTTTGGGGACCAGGTACCTCTCTGATTACTATAGGCAAAGGGTTTATCCTCATACATAAAATAGGTTTGAGAAAAGCTTCCATTTGTCCATGGCTATTTGGTCTGTTGTTTTGTTTTGTTTCGTTTTTTGTTTCTTTTCGAGACAGTGTTTCTCTGTGTAACAACCCTGGCTGTCCTGGAACTCACTCTGTAGACCAGGATCACAGAGATCCACCTGCCTCTGCCTTCCAAGTGCTAGAATTAAAGGCATGTACCACCACTGCCCAGCCATATTATTAACTGTTGAGAAGAGAAATTTGTCTAGAGATATTTGGAGCAGAAAGACATTTGCACATTTTGTCCTGGATGCCTACTGCACAGCAGGAGAGCAGGGAGCAGGTCCTCTTGTGTTAGAGCAGCACTTTCTAAGCAATAACCACAACCCTGCATGGAAACACCTGTCAGTTTTACTTGGCAAACCCTTTTGGAATGCTGGCAGTGGCGCTGTCTCATTTGTTGGGACTTTGTGGAAAAGGGCAACAGTGAGCAAAGGAGGGAGAGGAGAGGGGAGGGTCAGGGATACCAGCTAAGTGCTGGTAACAACAGGAAACACCACTGAGCTTCTGGAAAATTTCCAAACTTGCCATCCGAAGATCCTGAGTCAGACTGCTGAAGGTTGTGCACCTGAGTCAGGGTTTTCGGTGAGGGATGCAATGTTCCGGTGACAGGTGGTCCAAGACCACACGGAGATCAATGCACATGACAATAACAGGATGTAGAGGTCAAGAATGACAAACTTGAATTGAAACCAAACAGGCTAGTGATACACTTTGGTTAACTAAGAACCAGAAAGATTTCTGTGGGCCCAAGTCTTAAGTGCCAATTACAACATGCCAGGCACTGGTGGCACACACTTTTAATCCCAGCATTTAGGAGGCATAGGCAGGTAGAACTCTGTGAGTTCAAGGCCAGCTGAGTCTACAGAGCGAATTCCAGTTCAGGCTCCAAAGCTACAGAGAAATCCTGTCTAGACAAATGAATAAATAAATAATAAATAAAGCATCACAGAACAGAAGGTTTATTTCCTGTATATTTGCAAAATAATCCATTTGTATGACACAGGAGAATGGGCCATTTACAATTAAGACTAATCAAAATGGCTGCAGGAGGAACGGCTAACAGCACTAGAAGTTGTCATGGTAACAGAAATCTGAGTTGAGAAAACTGTGGGTAAGGAAGAGGAAATGAAAAATCTGGGTAAAGGGAACCCATGCCATGTTTAAAAGACAGCTATGTCTATATTATATCCGAATAGGAGAATTCAAAAGGAAACGATAGATTCTTTCCAAGAATGGGTTTTAGGTAAAGGGCAAGTATGTGACTAACTCATGAAACATTACTTACTCCTTTTCACTTTCCTGGTTTGTTTCAGGTATTTTCAGCATGAGAGACTCAGCTAAGTGTTGAATGAATCCATCAGAACCAAGCCCTGTGGCTGGAAAACTGGCTCAGCATACTGCCCTTGCAGCAGACCAGACTGGCTCCTAGGACCCACATCAGGTATTTGACAGCCTCTTGAAGCTCCATCTCTGGAGGGATCCCACACCTCTGGCCTCCAGTGGTCCCCACACACATATGTGCACAGCCCCACACAAACACACATAATTAAAACATTTTTCAAATCCAGACTCAAACATAACACTTAAACACAAGGTTGATAAAGGCATAAAACAATAACCAAAAGTTTTATTTAATTAAAAATATTATACATGTGGTTGCATTTTCATGGAAAATATTGAGTTAAAAAACACCAACAGTGTTAATTTTCAGAAACTGTCATGGACCCAATTATACCTCCTGCTGATTTCTTCTTTCTGTGCTATTAACTTTGTGTCTGTGAGGAGTAGGGGCCACAGTACTGGAGCTTCCTAGAAGGTCAGACTCCTGAGTAAGGCAGTTCCTTGAAAACAGTGTTCTGTCAAGGTTCACACAGACACTACCAGCTTTGATTTTCTTGCAAATCATTGAAGAAAACAAAAATAGAAACAAAAATAAACCAAAAAAAGAAAAAACAATGAGTGTAAAAACCCAGTGCTGAAGTCAACACCAGTTTAGTACATCTGAGCACTGATCCATAGCCTTGTCCAATTTCCAAGCCAGTTAACAAAGGACCTTGTTCCTACCTAATGTATTAGTGTCCTGAACTTCCCAATAAAATTTCCCCAGAACCCACTGTGGGAAGACACTAATATATAGTGTTTATACTCAAACCATCAGCAAATACATAACAGCACATGAAACATGTTCAATAGCAGTTAAAATACATGTTGGAACAACGTAACCATTGGAATAACTGACTATCACATAGCTCTGTGGATAAATTTTTAAATTGTCACATAACTACACATTCATCAAAAAATAACAGCATGAAAATTTTAAAAATTATTTAAGTCATAAACATCTCACAGGTAAATACAAGGTGTGGACAATATAACCCCATCCTCTACCCCCTTCCTTCTTTGGACAGTGCCATTCCCTAACATTTCCTTGACCTCAAATCATAATGCTACATCCTTAAGTTGCTTCCAAGTGATACTTTCACTAAAATTGCTCTGACATACAGAAATATCCCAGCTCTCTGTTCTTGGCCCTTAGCTTTAAATTGTAGTATGCTTAAATTGAACTTTGCATCCAGCTTCATATTAAAGAGAGGCATATTCTCCTTAAAATACACAAGTGAGTAAAAATAGCTGGAGAGCAAAAGAAAGTTGAAACTGCCTCAGCTTTTAGAGGCTGAAGTACGGCGTTTCTTCATCATAAATGGTCTGCTAGTGGATGGGGATAAAATAAGGCTGAAATTGCTTTTCACATTCTGGCTCTGTTGGGGGCATTTTCACATAGACCCCTGTTGTAAGTGGACTTCTTTTCCTTAGCTGCCAAAACACAAAAAGAAACAGCAATTATTATCAAAGAATACAGAAACCACTTTCAACCATAATAGGGCTCAGTAAATATTGGGCCCCTCCCCAGCAAAAATAAACATCTACAATAACATGCGTAATTATAAACTCTTAGAGATTTTCTTGATTCAGCTATTCAATTCACCTTGGAGAAATAATTCTGCAATTCAAATCCAAAATAGAACTATTTTCATGGAATGGAAAGGAGGAACAACAACAACAACAAAAAAGACTTTGAGACAACTTCACCAAGAACACTCAAAATGCCCAAGATAATTGACTAGATCTTATCTGTCGTAATCAATGTACTATAAATGTTTAAAGGTAGCTTGGATATCCTGTTTTGAAACTTTATTTCTCATCTCCACTACTTTTATGCTTTTTCTTGCTTTTTCTTTGTCTGTATTAGTTCCCAGTTTCTATCACGTTAACTTCAACAACTGAATTCTAGTTAGCTAGCAAAAGGAAGACAGCAACAGAACAGAGGTTCAATGAAAAGTGTGAGTGTGTGTGTGTGTGTGTGTGTGTGTGTGTGTGTGTGAGAGAGAGAGAGAGAGAGAGAGAGAGAGAGAGAGAGAGAGAGAGAGAGAAACAGAGACCTGGAAGGAGAGCCAGAAAGAGACAAAGGCAGGGGAATAAGTAAAAATGGAGGGGTAGGAAGAAGAGGAAGTAGGGAGGGAGAACAAAGAATGTTGTTTGTGATAAGGAAACCAGCCTCACACAGCAGTATTTGAGAAAGACTGTTAGAAGCCTAGACTGGAGACTTGATTCCACATGTCTCTATTTTCATCACTAATATAGTTAATAAAAAATCAGGATTTTCATTCACTGAACTAGGGGGATGATCAGGCACTTTTGTAAGGAGATATTAGGATAGGGACAGGTATTATATGAACAGCTACAGTATGAACAAAGACGGCACAAGAGTGGTACCGAGACATGGTTTTCAGAGAAGAAATACTCAGGAGAAGGATAAAAGGCTATCCAGGTGGTTCTAACTAGCAGCAGTTGCCCAACATAATTCTATGTTCTAGGGTTGCTAAGATTAGGACCATAGCCAAAATGGTGAGGACCAAAACAATTGCCCCTTGTTGTTCAAACAGTTACTCAAACTGAAACCCTGCTCAGAAGCACACAAACATTCACTGTCAAACATGTTCATGTACAGCATTAGTCATCCCGAAACCTCAAAGGCCAGTGCATGGGGTTCTAGTGTGTGCTTCCTGCTCTTTGTTTATTACTTCAACTCCACACCTCCATCACTTGGTCAGTAGGGTACAGCTAAAGGTGTTCCCATTAACTCCAGAGCAGCATCAGTACCACACTCACCATTTTGCTCAAAGAAACAGCAGTGATCAGGAAACTGTAGAAAAACAACCCTGAACTAATCACAGCAAGGATCCAAAGGAGGACGTCGGAATCTGGGCATGGTTCTGGATCTGCAACAGAAAGCAAAGAACAAACCTCTTGAAACAGTTTTCACCTCTCGGGCCATACTTCCTCATGAGTGAAGAAAACAGAAGAAAGGAAAGAGAAGGAAGAAGAGAACAATGAAGAAGACAGAAAGAAGGAAGAAACGAAATAAAGAAAGGAGGGAGGGAGAGGGAGTGAGGAAGGGAGGGAAACAGCTAGAGCATCCAGGCTTTGCTAGTCAACCCTAATTTGTACAGTAACCCACAGGTAAGTCTGACTGATGTGAGACTTCCCCACAGTGCCATTACAAAGATCAGGACACTTCAAGATAGTTATAAAAGAACAAGTGACCAAGCCTATCAGCAGCATAAAACATCTCCCCAAACACATTTTATCACAGTCAGTGGTGTTCATGTAACTGCTCATTGTAAGCAAGACATCTAACTAGAGAATTCCAGCTAGAAATCATAGCCCTAACTATGAAGACCCTCAAGCCAAGAAGCAGAACTATTATGGTGTGAACACAACAGCAATGCAACATTCATGTTCTTAGTGAAGTGAGTTTGCTCACCAATGACATAAATCTGGGTCCCGTTGCCCATGCCCACAAAGTATGGTGGTGGGTACATGAGTTCCACCTTGCAGAAGTACAGTCCAGTGTCAGAAGCTCTCAGTCCTTGGATGGTGAGGTTCACTTTGCTTTCGTTGAAGGTACCACTACAGAAGGGGTCATCTAGGAAGCCCAATGTATTCTTCACTGTGAATGTCGTGGCACAGACCTCAGTCATCTGGCCATTTGTGTGCCGCAGCACTGTCACCCGCACTTCATCAGTGTTGTGTGATGATGTATATTCACATGGAAAGTTGGCAACACCATGGCTGCTGGCCAATACCACTGAAGGTTGGCTCACTTGTATGGCTGCAATGGAAAAGTCAAAGGATTCATGATCATCCATGGTTGGGACTACTAAGCCACACTTTATAACAGGGAAGGTTTATCTTGGATGACCTATAAGATCGCCTCTCAACAAACTCATTACCTCTCTTACCTTTTGCCTCTCCATCCGTCCACCCAACAACCCACCTCCCATATTTTAGATGTCTTCAGTCACTCTCCAAGACTTCCTTACTGATAAATAGTTTCTTGAAGACAGATGGCTATGGCAAGGAGAACCCTGGTGTAGCAAACAGCAGACCTGGCTCTCATGAAATGTATCATTTTGGCAAATCGTTCTTCCTTTCATTTTCTCTCACATGCAGTAAGAAAGAGGTAGACTGTGTGACAGTGCATTGTTTTCCAGACCAGCCTCCTGCAGTGATAATAGAACTAGTCCACGCAGGGAGGATAGTGGATAGAGGGAGTTCTGGAGGTTGGGGTGCAGAACCATGCTTCGTCCCTCAATGTGAACCTCAAAATGGCCTGCCCACTTATATAAGTATACCTTTGTCAACAGGTGCAGTTGAACCTCAGCTCAGTGCACTGGTTTCCCTGTCTCTGGCCTCACAGTGGTAGAGTGGCCTATGATGTTAGACGAGGAAGCCACAGAGCCTAGAGCACCAGGTCATTTCCTCTCAGGGCTGAGGCAACCCTGCTGTTAACTCCTGTGGGCTTCCCCTGCCTCCCCACCACTTCTTCCGCCTTCCTTCTCTCCTTCATTTGACACTTTCCTGGTACTCTGGGTTTTTGCTTTTTTCCCTTTCCTCTCTGTATATTACAAAAGAAGGAAGTCCTCAGACAATACCATCTCTCCACACAAACATGCATTTGTCATTTGAAATTAGTGGGTTTGTAGCTTGGTGTTGGTAGTACATATCTGTAATGCCAGCATACTGGAGATGAAGGCAAACCTCAGCTAAGCAATAAGACATTGTTTTAAAAGTCAAATTACAACTAGCAGAAGGGTGGAGATAAGCTCAGTAGCAGAGTGCACAAGGGTTTGGATTCTACCCTTGGCACTCAATTTAAAAGACGTTTTGTGTCATATTATCTTTTCATAACTAACCTGGGTGCTATTTGGTCAATATCGCAAATTACATCCAAAACCTAAACTGAACAGTGTCATTGGCAGTTCACTAGCATCAGTTGCAAAAACAAGACAATAATTAGCATTCAATGTCTTACATATTACAATCTTGAATAGTACTCCAAGCTTAGTTTCCAAGACCACCATTCCTGCTCATAAGTCAGTCTATGGTGAATACTCTAGTCTCTCTTTCAAGCACCTGTACTGAAGAATATTTGTCCTCAGAAAAAAGAGCAAAATTGCAGCAGCTGTTGTCATGGTTATTCCTACAGCCTGGCTAGTGACATCAGGTGTCTGCCTGGCCTGCGTCTCTGCTATCACAGACAGTCTCTACACATCCTTTGTCCCATGGAAACCCCACTGGAGAGTTTTAGGAAGTTTTCTCCCACATTAAAGGTTTGCATCCTATACAGACAAGAAACTGTACATGACTATTGCTTCTTTGGTAAAAATTAAATCATCAAATATCTTTTATGTATCAGTTTCACACAAACTACATAATTCCTTGATTTAAAGGCTCTAGGGAGAGGAAGGGCGAGGGTCTAGTAGACATATCCTTTTCAAGGCACATAACCAGCCTGGTATTGGCCTCTGAAGAGCTTTTATTTCATATGAAAATCAGGGAGTTGCACTTAAAAATCCATGTGTAGGTAATGCATCAATTAGGGATTTTATGAAGAAAAAATAAAAAGAATCTTAGGACAACCATACTGATGTTTGCTTCCTTCTCTTCCTCCTCCCTTATTCCCTAGCTTCCTTCTTCTTTTCCTCCATTCTTTCTATCTTCCCTTCCTTCCTCCCTTCTTCCTTCCTCCCTTCTTCCTTCCTCCCTTCTTCCTTCTCCCTTGATTTCTTCTCCCTTGTTTCCTTCTCCCTTTCTTCCTTCTCTCTTGCTTCCCTCTTCCATTTTTTCTTTCTCTCCTCCTTTTCCCCTTTCTACCATCTTCCATTCCTTTCTTCTTTCAATTTCAAGCTATTTCATCTTTAAAATAATTTATTTTTTCCTCATTTGTTTTATATTATTTCTTTTAGTTTTTGAGATTTTAATATAATTTCATTATTTTACCAAACCCTCCCATGTACCATTCCTTCTTTTATTTCAAATTCATGGCCTCTTTTTTATTACTTGTTATTACATGCATACTCATAAAGGTATGCATTCTTAAATGCAACATACTCAGTCTGTATATATTATTTGCATTAAGTGTTCAGGGGTGCCCATTTGGTATTGCATAGGTTAGTTGGTGTGTTTTTCCCTGGGAAAGCCTCCTGCTCACCATATTCCTTAGTTTCCTGTAGTTATTTGTATGGAATTGAGGTCTCTTGGTCTTTCCCCCATACACTTTGGAATATCTATTGGCTATCACGGTCTTTCCACCCCTTCTTCTGCGATGTCCCCTGAACCTTAGGTGTGGTAACTTTAAGAACTAAGAGTGTCTCAAAAGCTTAAAGTGAACCAAAAAAAGAATTCATATTTATTTAAATCCAAGTGAGTTTTTTTGTTTGTTTATTTTGCTTTTTGTTTGGTTGATTTTTTTTAAGGAGGAAAATCTTAAGGCCCCTCTGATATCAAGATCAAAGATACTCAGGATTTCAGAAGCCCTTAAATTTCTTAATTTTGCAGTATGTCCTCACAATATTACAAAAGTATCTGAACTTGTTCTCTCCCAAACCAGCTCTCATGGATTCCTTAATTCTCAGATTTTATGGATTCTGGAATTCTCAGCTGTCTGGAATTTCCCAGTCTGCTATTAGTGGTCTCTGCTTGTTTGCTACTGCTAACTCCCCTTCTCCTGTCTTGGAACATGAGCTGCTAAGCTGGAAGGTAGAGATTTGCCTTTCACTTACGGCTCTTCTTTAAATCACTGTCCTTAGCTGCTGAAAGAAATGAAACCCATGTAGGAAAATCACCTCCTCCACCTCCATGCTCCAGAAGTCTGCACTCACCTTTGGACAAGGTTGGAATGAGGAGAAAAGCAAGCAGGACTACAAAGGGCCAAGTCCTGGAAGCCAGCTGCAGTTGAACCTTGCTCCTCTGAACTCCAAGACAAGCCATGGCTGTATGGGAACCGTGCTCAGGTCTTCAGGAAGTAGAGTGAAACCTTTCAGGATCGTGAGGCTTTGAAATGTGTTTGAACCCACACAGGTTCAAGGACTTTATATAGAGACAGCTTTGATCCCAGGTACGTGCTACATATGTGTACCACATACACATGGCACATGAATAGAGAGCCTTTTTGTTTTGGTTTTACGAGAAAGGAAGCCGTGGGTTAAGCTGTTACGTCGTAAAGACGACCTCAACTACTCAAAGTAAAACTGAACAAAACAAGCAAATCCATGGATGGAAAATGTACTCAACTTGAAACTGAAGCTTCAAGTCAACCGAGGATCTGGATAAGTAGAGCCTTGGAGAGTAGAATTTCCTGTAGTACAAGGTACCCCTAAACCCAATCCAAATTTTATCCACCTGTCTGGTCATCTTTAATCACCCAGTATTTTTCTTTGACATCCCCATAACCAGCCCTTAGTTCTAAGACTGATGGTAGAATTTGGCTATGGAAGGCATCCATTAAAAAATGTGTTTGAGCTGTGAGGTTCTGACCTTCTATGAGCCCCTCAGATGTGAAAAGAGTTTATTTTACCTAACCCCATTTTATTGAGAGAGAATGCCAAAACCACAGAAATGAACGGCACATATGCACATGAAGCACGGGAAACTGTCTCTGGTTTTGCCAATTGGGAAAGAATTTGTATGTTCTTAAAGCCTTCACAAAGGCAAAACAAAGCTATAGATGGCCCAGGAAAAGTCATTCCAAATGAAAAGGCATTCAAAACCTCTAAGGAGGCTGAATCTTTTTTAACAGTAAGACTTCTTTTTTTCTTTCTTTTGTTTTATTTTTGTTTTGTTGCTGTTTTTTGAGAAAGGTTTTTTTCTGTGTACCCTTGTTTTTTAAAGGGTAAAAACTAAAAACAAGGATAAAGACATAGTTCAGTGGTGGAGACACAGCTCAGTGGTGGAGATGCAGCTCAGTGATGATGGA